CACACACATATCCGTTTTTTCTGAAGTATGCCAAAACGTTCAGAAACCTTCAAAACGTCGAGAAATGTAAACATTTTCAATTCCGATTTTCGGCCCATTACAATAACTTACCCTACGGGAAGTTAATAATATACGTATACAGAATTTGGAATTTTTCTATAATCCCTAATATTCAGAAAGTTTGCATTAGACCTAAAAAGGGATGTTTAGACCTAAGCTATGGAAATATATATGGAAAAATTATATGATTTGCACATGCATCCTGTGCTTACTTAGACTAAACAATGATCATAATATAATATGTTTAACAATTTTTTAACAGTATTTACAAATTATATTCAAATCACCCAAAGCAAGTGGGTTGAAGTCGTGTAATTTTTTAATTTGCCTCCCCCCTCTGAATTTAAACATGGATTCTTCTGTAGGGCGAGCGCCACACGTTGGGAATTACTAGTCTAGGAGTACAATTTTTTAATCTACTACCAGGTTAAAATAATCGAGTGATCATCAATTCCACAGAACCTTCATCAGATTTTCAAAAGATCAAAGTTACATCGCTGCTGGAAAATAAAAAAAATTAAAGTAAAAAAACATTGCAGGACCAGCTAGTATATATACATAATATATATAAAAAAGTTTTACTAAAAATACACTTAAGTAAAAAAATTTGCAAGCATTATTTTTTTTCAATTGAAATGTATTTTTCATATATATTTTTTCTTATTTCAGGCTTCATTCTATTCGATGGCTCTGAAAACTTTGATCTCCGTTTCAACTGTGATATTACTTGGATTAATTGTAGCATACCACGCTTTAGAAGTTCAGGTAAGAAAAAAAATAAAACTGGTGGTGTATGGCATCGTGCCTTAAGGCAAATTGCTCCCGTGCCGTAATGAAATATTCGAGAAATTTTAAATAGATTATTACAAATACTGTAACTTTCATTATTTTTGCTATCTTATTATTATATCTGACCAAATCGAATGTAAATCATAAATCATAAATCAATTTCTCTACAGAACACATTAACAATCGTCATTTCATTTCGAATTCAATTAAAAAAAAAATGGTTGCCTAATTTGCACAAAATTGAAAAAGTGCTCCCGTATAGTCACAGTCTAAACGTATTTGCAAATAATTCTTTTCGGCATTTTCACTTATACTGTGCTCAGCTTGGCGGCATTTTCACATTTTTCAAGAGTTTTCACAAAATTGGAAAAGTGCTCCAGGACATAAACAGTCTGAATGCACTTGGGTAACGCATTTGTACCGGAGTGAAGCTTAGACTGTGCTTAACCTGGATAATTTTTTGAATTTTTAATCCAAAATTACAAAAATGTTTTTTGAAAAAAAAATTACAATTTTTTGCCGAAAGCAATTATTTTGTTGAAACAAGCAGAAAGTTCTTTGAATCATTTAAATCGGAAGCTTAGTTCTCTCAAAAACTGCCATTTTTTTAACATTTAGCTCTGTATCTCCAAAACCGCTGGGCCTACCTTTGCCAAAAACTAATAATCACTTTTCTCCGTCATTACGAACTGAATGTTTTTTTGGATCATATAAATCGGATGATCCGTTCTCTCAAAAACTCGATTTCTATTTTCTGCACTCTTTGCTCCGTATCTCCATAACGGCTGGACCTGCCATTGCCAAAAACTAATCAGCACATCTCCTTATTAATAAGAATTTAATGTTTTCTGAACCATTCAAATCGGTTGCGGACATACAAAACACACACACACACACATCTATTTTTTCTGAGGTATGCCTCTTAAAAATGTTCAGAAACCTTCAAAACGTCGAGAAATGCAAAAATTTTCATTTTCGATTTTCAGCCCATTACTATAACTACCCTACGGGATTTTAAAAACACACTTTTATAATAATAATTTACTTAAATCAACAATCAAAACTATTTGCTAACTCCAACTACCTTCTTCTTCAATAACTAATACTTTATTTTTTAATTAACAAACTTCAATATCTGCATTGTTAGTGATAGTCTTCAATTTTTTTCATTATGTCAAAGATTTACTTTTATTGACCCTGCTAATTTTTTGTCAGGTGCACTTTTAGCCACACTTTTTTGTAGTAAAAATAATTATCCAATTTGTCCATCCATTTTATGTTCTTTTTATCACCAGCATAATAATCTAATTTACCTACTGATACTTTGTTGTAAACATATGTTCAATCTACTTTATTGATCCATTTTACCTTATCATTATTTATATTATTTATTAATTTTATTTTTGTTATTGTTTGCTTTTATTTTATACTAGATGACTCGACAGACGTTGTTCTGTGCTCATGTCTACAATTTTTTAATATAATATACTAATATTTACCGTTTACTTAAAAATAATAATTATTGTTTTTTAAATTACTCTTTACGCCAAAATGCATATACATTTATAATATGAGCGATGTTAAATGGAGAACTGCTTTAGATAAAATGATGAGTCTCAATTCCCACACTATATAGGAAATTAAAGTCTTTTAAACGTTATAATATAACCATAACCATAACATAACACTGGTACTTCATGTTGGATTAAATTAAATTATTTTTTAGTTATTTAAGATATCCAAAATTGTATTTTAAACTTTCCCTAATCGATATCATAAGGGCCGAATTGCATGTACTCATCTCTACTTTCCCATTTGTTGTCATATAGTGAAATTTTTACGAATTTTGAAAATATTAAGGAAAGATTAGTGAAAGATGCAAAAAAATTATATATCGAGAAAAAAACTATATTGAAAAATTAATATTTGAATCTTGTGTTGGCGCCTCCTAAAACGTGCGCTCCTATTTTTCGCATGCATCCGAATACCTAATTTATTAAGGTATTTTACGTAAAATTAATTAATTTATTAAGGTATTTTACGTAATATTTTAAGTGAATCAATTTGTCATATCATGTTCATATTTGTATCATTCAATCTGCCATACATACACTGTATTTTATATTATTTTAATTTCTGACACATCTCAGCTGCTTTTTGGCATATAATAATGTAGACATTTCATTGTTCTTATTCATAATCATAAATTTATTATACATATTCTAATATTGTTTGGGTTCAAAAGTAAAATGAAATTTTTGGCAGATGATAGTTCTCAGTTGTTTTCAATGCAAACAAGGACATGTCGTTTTTTGCATTTTTTTCCATTTATTTCTGCAATATTGCACATACATCCCAGTACTTTATAGTCACATACATCCTAGAAAATTTCCTTAACAAACTTCAGAAAGATTTATCAAAATTCGCATAATCGTTTAGGAGGAGTATACAGTGAGTGCTTGTAATTTAATATGAACTTTATTTAATTGCAATAAAGCTCAAATTGATTCTACGTTTTGGTTAGAAAACGCTTGTATGAGAAAAAGAAAAGGCTGTTTTTAGGGTTTTCCCGGCAATTTCTATATATAAGATTAAATCATCATACTACGGATATTATTTTCATGTAAATTCTATTCTTTGCTCTCTTATTTATTTAAATTTATGTTTTTATTTATCAATATTGCTAGATGTTAACTATTTGTAATAAACATTACAATTAAAAAAAAGAGTGCGCGTAAGGATCACACGCGATTGAAGTAAAACTTATTTGCTACTGTACAAAGTAGCAAATTTAAGTTAAGTAAAAATAAATACATCATATAACAATTTTGAATAATGTTTATTACATAGTAATATGGTAACACTCGTGATGCACACATTTATTAGTGTCGTCAATCATTATACACATTTATATAATGATTAAAATTATAAATTATATATTTATGATTGCATTAAAAATATGTATAATATTTACAAGCAGTAATGTAATCAAGGTCATACTTGAAATATGACATGATCGGTTCAAAGTAATTGCTGATTAATAAATTCTATAATATTCGTTCACACAGTGGATTATGTTAAACAACGCCTAAACAAATATTGTTTTTGCAAATTAACTCATCCTGTAACAATGGTGTTTGAAAACTTCATGTAATTAAAATTAACATACATTAATTTACTGATTGTATTTTTTTTACTTTTTCGCTGGTGATATAATCTCATTCTTTGAACAGCTGTAATATCTGTCTTGCCTGAAAAATTGAAGCCATACTTTTATATTTGTTTTATTCATCAAGTCCTGCACATAGCTTGATCTATGAATCATTTTCTTTTCTATGTAAACGTTAACGCAATGATCATCATCAATATTACGAGGTAATAAATTAACCATATTATTAATGTCAACAGGCACATTTATAATTTGGCAAAATATTCCAAATTGTCCATTTGCATGTCGCAATCGTCTAATTTTCATGAAACACAACCTAGGTGAAATTAACCTTTTAGATACAGTATCTAGTTTAGGTAGATAATTTGGTATAGGTGGAAATATTAGGTTGTCAAATATCTCCCTTCCGCTTTTTTGCTATTGGTTTGTAATACAAAAAGGCGGAAGGGAGATATTTGACAACCTAATACAAACCCGTTAAATTTACACAAAGTGGGAATTTTACTCGAATTTAATGCCTTTCGACAAGTTTGACATCCAACCTGATTATTTGAATCAATATTCAGAAAACCATTATTAAAAATTTGTTTTTGAGCATCATTTGATATTTTTAAGTCAACTTGAAACCAAAGTCGATCACACACAAAGCATATAGCCAGACTACGAGCGAAATACAAAACTCAAGTGAAAGTCGACACATTTTTTTGATTGTTTTTGACATATGATTTGACATTTGATGTATTTTTTGTTTTACTCGCAGACTAGATCGAATAATTGCGATAGCTGCGCTAAGTAGCGTCGTAAGCGCAAGTCATCTCAGCTTGGCGTAACAATTTCCGTTGCATTTGTACGGATTTACACCCATGTCGCGCCTAAAGAAGTTCTACTTCAAAAAAAAAAATACTTTCTCTATCCATAACTCCAGTTCCATCTAGAAACCCTTTTAGTAACCTCTTAAACCTCATTTATTTTTACCTTCTAGTTGTTCATGATCGACAACTGTGCAGACGACTGGCGAATAGCGATGACCTGGCAAAGAATTTCCCAAATATCCATCGAATTGTGCATTTGTGCAGTTCATCCTATACCAGGACAATACTATTTTCATTGGACGACCAAATTGGCGAACAAGGGCGGAATTATTGGCACCGAATTGGTGCCTTATGACGTCACACTATCTCTACCCATGTTTTTGCGACTCTATCTTATATGCAGGTAAATGGTAATGGATATATGGGTATACTAAAACCTTCCTTAAGGGGCACAACTAGTGTAACCGAGTAAAAAACGGTGATTTTTGGGAATTTATATTAAAAGAACTACTTCATCAATCATTTCAAAATTTTAGGACTATATTTATACATGTTTCATGAATACATAGTAAAATTTAAAAAATAATAATTAAATATTCTTTAAGTTATCGTCGATCTCCAACGGCGCGACAAAAAAGGCCCTTCACTGCAGCAGTGATTCCGGCCTTCTACGTGGATGAAATTAAAAAAAAAATTCTCGTTAAACTAGATTATATTGTCTGTGAAATGAACTACGATAAAGAAACAAATCAAAAATTGACAAAATGACGGCGTTTTTTTAAAAAAAGTCGAATTTTACCCAAAATTTTGGTCGGTTTTGGACTGCCAAAATTCGATTTTTGATCCAATAAAAAAATCGATAGTTCATTTTACGGAGAACTATAATATAGAACATGTAAAAAAAAATTGCTAGTGATCGGATCATTCGTTTTTGAGTAATCACTGCAGCAAATTCGGAAAATGCTGTTTCGAGACAAACGCGTTTAAAGATAAAATGATCGTTATACTATATACCAGGGCTTCTTAAACTTTTTTATATAGCGACCCCCTTCAAGCTTAGAAAATTTTAAACGATTTCCTTATAATGAAATATATATTAACATCTACATCTAGTAGATGTAATATCGCACTATTTTACAGTGTAATTAAAATAAGGGTAAAAGAATATGTGCTCATTCATGTCACATATATATAATTGGAAACGTTGACATAAAACTATACATATATATTTATTCAATAGAAAAAATAAACTTTTGTAACAATTTATAAGAAAACATAAAACTATATCTGTATATTAAATAGAAAAAATAAACTTTTGTAACATTTTTTTTAATAAAAACATATTATTAACACTAAACAATATTAATGTACCGGATGTAATTGTTTATTTTTACACAAATAATTATATCAATCTCAATTTGAGTTAGTGCAGATTGTAATAAATTTTCAACGTTTATTAAAGTTGAACACGATACTTTGATTTAATGTAAGTTAATGTGGAAAAGGCTGATTCACATAAATATGTTGCTCGAAATGGCAGTAATTTGTTCATTGCTATTTCCGATAGTAGGGGATATTCTGATTTGATTTCTATCCAAAATTCATGCACAGGCACTTGAGAAAATCTGAGTCGCAAGGTATAATTCGGCAAATTCTTCTTGTGCTTTTAAGTTTAAAAAATTAATTTCCTCCATTTCAAATGAAAATGGATTGCAAATCCATTGTTGTGTATCGATATCATTAGAAAAATACCTATGCATGTAAAATTCTATACCGTCAAATGATTAACTATAATTTTTGTTATAGGAGTATCTTTTTTGAAATATTGTTACTGATTATATACTCGTCAGTAAATGGAAACATTTTGAGCGACCCACTTTCCACTCCATTTAAGTTTTCCATATAAAAATCATTTTAACAAAGGCCTCAAGTTTATTTTTTCACATAAACATATTAATGCAGACTCCCTGCATTGATAAATTCATATCATTGATTTTATCAAAAATATTGGTCAAATAGCATAGCTTGAGAGAAGCCATAAATTATCGTGAAAATAATCGGCATAATAAACCCCTGGGGGTCGCGACCCACACTTTAAGAAGCCCTGCTATATACTATATATATATATATACTCTTTAAATGGTTGTAACTCAAAAACTTTTCAAGATATCGATTTTAAATTTTGTTATATTATTTTTAAAGGTATAATCTATCGAAATATGAAAAATTGTAAATTCGATTTTTTGAAAATTTCACACTAGTTATGCCCCGTAAGTCAACATGATGGTATTAGGGTTTGTCGGTTTTCAAAAAAAAAAAAAAAATCGGCGAAATTTATGGAATTCTAAAACCGGTTTTTTGTGAAAAAAGTCGGTTTTTACTCTATAAATGGAAAATGACAAATATAGCCAAATATAAAAGATAGATGAAATTTTGATTCTTGAAATCATATCGTTTCTATAGCATTTGATATCTTATCAGTCTGCAATGGTTCCAGAAAGGTTTTGTATATAATAATTTAGATTTTTATACTAGTGTATATATTAATTTAAATCAGTGTGACTTCTTCTTGAAGAAGTAACTTGCTCTACTCAAACTTAAAAAAAAAGAGTTTTAAACCCTAGAAGCTTCAAATTAAAGAACAAAAAACTTAGAATTATTATATCAGGCTTTAAAAACAATCAAGCATAATTTGGTCGCAATATGAGAGTATTTTCTATTTCAGGAAATTTTGTGAGTGAAACAAAGGACACATCTATGTAGCATTCTCAGTTTTTTGAAATCATATTTTATTAAACAAAAAAAAAAAATAGAATGTTTAAAATTGATTAATTAAAATTGCTCGGAACAGGCAATACCCCAGTTTAGCTTAATTATTTAAAACTAAAATTGATATTAACAAGTATATATCAACATATATCTACGTTTTTTTTAATTTAATGAATGTTTTTTTATTTAAAAATGTATCATTTTATTTATTCGAAAACTTTCTCTTCACTTTCATAAAAATATTTTCCTTCTTATATGTGAAAATGATGCATAAATAACGAATAATTATTTTCAAAGTTATTTAATCAAGATAAACTATTACTTTTTAGTTCTACTAATTAAAATTAAAATAATTTTGTTTACTATCTATAAAATTGAACAATAAATAAATTCAGTCAAATACTGCTCTAAATTACACTAAATTCGCGGATAAATTACAGAATATTTGAGCAAAAATTTATTTCCTATATAAAATTCGAAAACCGGTTGAAACCGGTTTTTTAGTAAAATTAAAATTCGAAAACCGGTTTTCTGAAATGTCGGTTTTTGTATAAACCCTAGTATACACCAAGTTTTATCTAATTTAGATAAACAGTTTAGGAGCAGTTTGGTGTCATATAAAGTTTTATATATATATATATATATATATATATATATATATAATTTTTTTTCAGGGTGATGCTGCTCCACAGCAAATTATTCACAGATGCTTCTAGTAGGAGCATTGGTGCCCTAAATAGGATAAATTTTAATACTAGATTTGTATTAAAAACGCTCATGACGATCTGTCCAGGAACTGTTCTTCTAGTGTTCATGGTTTCTTTGTGGATAATTGCGAGTTGGACGTTGAGGCAGTGCGAAAGGTAGGATGATAATTTTTTTTCAAAAATATTTATATTTTTATACTCGTATATTGTTTATATTAAATTTATATTGCGGTTTTTCCTTTGGGTTTTTGGTTGCGCCGGTAAAAGCAAAAATTTTGAGGTTAGGGTTGACAGGTTTTACAAGTGACTCGGGGTGTAATTGGAATTTTTTGGAAATATTTGTATTTGTTCAAGAAATCTAAAAAAAATCTAAATTTTTATTCCAAATTTTAATTGATATAAAATATACATAATTCATGTAAATTTTTATTAATTTTGCAAAAATTGTTAATAATGTTTAATTTAAATTGTTATATCATCAAAGTTGTATTATACAATATTTAACTCATTTTTTTTGCTTAAACTTTTTTAACTTTAGAATCGATTTTTAATATTTCAACACTCATAGTTTTTATTACAAATATTTTATTGTATGTAAAATATACATAATTATAATATATTTTTATTAATTTTGCAATAATTGTTAATAATATTTAATTTAAATTTTATATTATTAAAGTTGTATCATACAAAATTTACATTAGTATTTTTTCGCTGAAACTTTTTTAACTTTAAATAGTTATTTGATATTTTAATTCTCATTTTTTTAATGAAAATGTAATTTATCTTTTATAAACAAGTTCTGATGATTTATTTTTTAGTTTCCTAAACAAATATAAATACTTTAAGAAATTTTCAATTATTTTTTGGGTCACTGTCGTTTCGATTTACAAAAAATTTTATACAAATATAATAAATTGTCGTCGAACAAATATACAAAAATAGAAATAGAAAGTACTGATTTTATAATATTTTAAAAAGTTATCCACAATTTTTTATTAAAATGAAAATTATCACATTTATACCTCGATTGGAGTAGAAACCAAATTTTACATATAAAAAATCCCATAATATTTTTAAACTATAATTAATGAATAAAAAATGTTACTACTATTTAATTTTTTTAATCAGAAAAATATTCATATTTTTAGAAGCAAATGAGTTTTTATACTATATACTAATTAATGATAATAAAAATAATAATAATAATAATAATAATAGTTCTAAAGTTTTAACATTTCTGACTCCAATTGTCACATATATGTATATATTACAAAATTTAAAACACATTTTTAGAAATTTTGCATGAAATTCACTCTCACAAAAACGAACTAATATATATATATATATATATATATATATATATAAATATTCACATTGATCAAATACATATTTTTTGTTTCATATACGCCTAAAGAAAAATGGCAAATTTTGACTATTTATTTTTCTTAAGAAAATTCGTTGTTATTAAAATAGTTAAGATTCGTGAAATCTAAATAAAAATTTCACTATTACAAATCTTAATAAATGTAATTTAAAAAAAATTGTCAAACTAATGCACTAATGCAAAAGTATAAATCTTCTACTAAAACTAAATCTTTATATATTTATATTTACAAATATTTATATTTATATACAATCTTTATATTTACAAACATTGCACAAAGCTTGAAAATTTTATGTTATATCAAAATTCTAGCCTAATAATATGATAATTTTTTTTAACAATTTTCCCCAAAAACCAAATATCTTTCCAAATTGGTACCTGAATGGCTTTATTTTGGGTTTATGCAATTATTTTATTATTATCATTATTAGAATATATAAAACTATCATTATTTTTGTATTATATATGAGTTACTAATTATTACTGCTTTTATTAATATCTTAGTTTTTTTATAACTATTAGTCATTTTGTTTATTTATGAAATGCTTAAAAATTATATTTCTAAGCTTTTCTTTATATTAATTTCTAGTGCCTCAAATTTACTTTTATTTATTCAATTTATATAAATTCTCTGACATTTCTGTTCTGTTCTAATTTTCATTAATTTGTTTAATATAAATTTGGTATTTATTTTTTATTTTATTTAGTTACTTTTTATAAATTATTTATGCTTTATTTTCGGTGTTTATACTATTAACTTCTAAACATATTATTTTTTTATTATCATTAATATTTTAATAATGTTTTTATTTTTGCTAATGATAATTATATATTCAATTGTAATTTTTGACAAGGTATTTTCATATTACTATTATATTAACGTAGTCAAAATTTGCCATCACAACCATTTCACTAAAAATCTTTTCAATATTGCACTTTTAGATTAGTTTTTATTAGAATTCTAGTTAGATTTTGATGTTTTTGCTAGTTTGTGGTGCATCTTCAATGTGTTTTTCTAAATCTCTATGTTTAATGTAGTATATAGTAGTTTTAAGATAATTCGTAGAAATTTTTAGATGATTTATTTAGATATCGCTCACGTTATGCAAAAGCTGCACTTTGCACTAGAAAATGATTTTTGTTCCAACTTTTCTTCACTTTTGTCACTTTATATGGAATCTTATATACATATATATGGATTTATATATATATATATATATATATATATATATATATATATATGGCACTAGATGAAATTGTTCAGGAACAAATATGTTCTTGAAAACTCTTTAAAAAATAATTTCTTTCGTTTTATTTTTGCGATCCAAAAGCATTTCGACCGAACTTAAAATTGTCTTTAAAATTTATTCTGAATGTCTATATAATTAGTTTGATATTAATAGTTTTTTGGGACTTGACATATTTTTGCAAAATCGATAAATTAGTTAGCTTAAATTATTTTGCTCTTATATGACAATTTTCGTATATGAACACTTCGTATAGGTTTGTTTTAAATTATACTAATTCATTTCTTTGAAAATATTCCATTTAATAAATTTTTATGCGATTCAAATGCGTTCTTAAATAAATTAAGACAATAGACAAATAAATAATACATGATTGTTTTTTTGTTTATGCTTACAAAAGTAAACAAATGCAAATTGCTGATTCTGTATGAAAAATATCACAATCAATCCTACAGCATTTAAAATAAATTTTATAACTTTAAACTTTATATATATACATACTCTTACTTTAAATTCATTCACCTAAACATATTTTTATCAATTTGAATATTAACTATAACAATTTTCATATTTATTTTTAAATTTTTTGCATGATTGGATAAATATTTAAATCTTTAAATCTTTCTCTTATAAAGTATATTTAAATTATATATATTTCACTAAAATGGTCTATAAAATTAAATTATAAGAAATTCTAGAACAATGAATTCAAAAGCGTCTTTTATAATTCATAAAAAAATCATAGTAAATATAAAATCGCACCTTTGAATTTCTTTTGAACGTTTTAATTTTAAGATGTCAGTTTATTTAGCACTTAAACGTAATTTAAAAAAATATTAAAACATTTTTATTTTTTATATTTAGGAATACACGCTATAGCAAAAACACACATTTTTAATTAATCTTACCATTTATTTTATTAAGTTTAGCAAAATTTATTTATACTTAAATATTTATTGCCAAGTGATACATTATACATATATACAAATTCCTCAAATACTAGTTGGTATTGGTATTTTGCCTTAAGGCAAGTTACATGAACTTTTCGATATGTGTAAATAATCGACTTAATCAATAAAAAATATATTAATTTATGAGTAGTTAAAAGTATTCCCAGTGGATTTATTACACATCATTGCAAACGAACGAATTTTCTAAAAGCAAATTTTCAAAAATCAATATTTTTTATATTTGAACTAGTTTCCCTAGGACTTTAATAGTTTAGTATGTTCGTTAACACCAAGTACTATATTGTTATACAAAGTAAATCGTCTAATTTTAATTTTAACAAACGTCAAAGAAACTACTCATTTTCTCAAACTTTTATGAATTTTTAAAATTGAACTACTTGTCGTAAGGCAGTCATATTTCAGTAAGTTCTATAGGACCATGATATATATCGCTTTATATATATATATATATATATATATATATAAAGTTCCATAAAAATCGGCTTCAATTTTTTTTCAACAGTTAATTACAAGAAATAATTCTATATATATATATATATATATATATATATATATCCATCTTTCCCAAAGTGCCAATTACAATTTCCCAAGCCGGTCTAATTACTTGAGATTATTAAGAATCTTTTAGAATTAGAACATTGAGCCTTTCTAAGACTTCAAAGTCAAGAGTCTTTCTTTAGTCGTCTTCTTGTATTGGAAAATGCTTTTCCAGAATAATTGGAAAAGTTCGGTAAAAGAAAACGAAGATTAATTCTACCAAAATAAATGAACAAGCAAAAATTACTAAATCATATATATATATATATATATATATATATATATATATATATATATATATATACAGTTTAACAGACGGAAAATTTTAAAAACAAAGTTTATTAATAAGGAAATTATCAGGGTAAATGAATTTTGTGAAAAGTTTTTATGGGAATTAAGAAAATAATTGCCTTGCAAATTAATTTTTTTGGTATAAGTTCGTTGATTCAAAAAAGTATGGGCAATAGGCTGATATCTTAAACATATATAATATTAAAAATAAATTTCAATCTCCAGAAATAATTCTAAAATTAGCACTTGATATAAAAGTATTTGAAATGAAATTAATTAATTTAATATAATTAATATTAAAAATGAAAAGCTTGACAAATTCAAAACTTGTTTAATTTAGAACTCTCAAAAATCTAAAAAAATTATCATACGGAATTTTTATATCCAAATTTAATTTTTTAACAAATAGCAGTATTATTAAAATTTGTATTTTGTAATTAAGGTCTGATATATTATTTTTACTAATTTATTTATAGAATTTGTAGTGCTTGCTCAAGTACTAACAAAAAAATTAGAGGCTTAATTTTTTTTAAAAATAGTTTAAATTATTACAAATATATTATACATTATATTAATATAAAATTTACAAAAAAAATGTACATAAATGTAATTTTATATATAGTAGTGCACCTCGCTTACTAATTTAAAATCTAAAAAAGTAGACAAAGTATTTTTACTAATTTATCATAAAATCATAACTAGATTCATCATATATTTTCATCT